AGAAAACCTTAATCAGGTGTATGTGGGAGTAGGGGCATCTGAAGTTCCAGGTAAGGCGAAAAATGCTTTGCCTATTAAAGTGGAAATAAAAAAGGGGGGGGCTTGCCCAATTAGAATAAAACAATATCCCTTAAAATTAGAAGATCAAAGGGAATAAAAAAAATCATTGATAAATTTTAAATTATCGATTATTAATTGAATGTGAACTGGAATATAATACTCCTATCTGGACAGTAAAGAAATATGATGGGAAAAGTTGCCGATCGGTTCAAGATCTCAGGGCAATCAACAAAATTGCGGAGGATATTGTCCAGTAGTAGCTAATTTGTATGATTTATTGACTAAATTGAATAATAATCAGAAAAGGTTTGCCATCCTGGGTTTAAAGGATGCTTTCTTTTGCTTATCATTGGCCAAAGAAAGCCAAAGTCATTTGCTTTTGAATGGGCAAATCCTGACACAGGAAGGGAAACTCAATTAACTTGGATGGTATTACCTAAAGGGTTTAAAACCAGCCCAGCAATTTTTGGAAATCAGCTAGCATGAGAACTAGAATCATGGAAGCCACCTACTCAGATGGGGACTCTGTTACAGTATGTGGATGACCTGTTAATCGCCACAGAAACAAAGGAAGAATGTATCCAGTGGACAATGGAATTATTAGATTTCCTGGGACTGAATGGTTATTGGGTATCCAAACAAGGCCCAACTAATCCAAACCTGAGTTTCCTATCTAGAAGATGAAATAACAGGAAGACAGAGAGAACTTGGAACTGCTAGGAAAGAAGCCATTTGCCAGACTGAACGACCGTCGACCGTCAAGGAGCTCTGGACATTCCTGGGAATGACTGGATGGTGCAGACTTTGGATGCATGGTTACAGTGTTCTGGTAAGGCCACTGTATGAACTGTTGAAGGGAAACCCTCCCTCTTTAGAATGGACTGCTACAGCAGAGGGGGCTCTTAGAAATTTAAAAGCAGAGCTAATGAGAACGGCAGCTCTGTGACTTCTGGATGCGACTAAATCCTTCGAGCTATATTCCTGTGAAGAACAGGGAATAGCTTTGGGGGTCCTGGCTCAGAAACTGGGACCCAACAGAAGGGCAGTGACGTGTTTTTCAAAGCAGCTGGATGAAGTGAGCAAAGGATGGCCCGGATGGATGCCTATGGGCTGTGGCAGCAGTCGTCATGAATATTGAAGAGGCTCGCAAATTCACCTTGGCACAAAAGATCACTGTGCTAGTGTCCCATGTGGTATCAGCAGTCCTGGAGCAGAAAGGAGCCCACTGGTTATCTCCTTCATGTTTCTTAAAATCCCAGGCCACCCTTGTGGAACAAATGATATAAAAAATATGACCACTAACGTTGTGAATCCAGCATCCTTTTTGCAGGAGCAGTCGACAGAACCGCTAACACACGACTGCTTGACCACCATGGAGGCTGTATATTCGAGCTGACCAGATCTGAAAGAAAAACCTCTGGAAGATGCTGATTCTTGGTTTACTGATGGCAGTAGCTTCATGAAAACGGTGAATGAAAGGCAGGATATGCCGTTACCACCACTTCTCAGGTTATGGAAGCTAAACCTTTACCAGCCAACACCTCTGCCCAGAAGGCAGAAATAATAGCATTAACGAGAGCCCTGGAATTGGCTAAAGATAAAAGGATAAATATTTGGACTGATTCTAAATACACGTTTGGTGTGGTCCATGCACATGGTGCTATCTGGAAAAAACGAGGGCTTTTGAACACACAAGGGAAACAGATTAAAGATGCTACAGAAATTCTACAATTACTGGAAGCTGTTCAGCTACCTGAAGAAGTAGCTATTACATACTGTAAAGAACATCAGCAAGGTGACCCTGATCAGGAAATTGGAAATAATTTGGCTGATTTTGAAGCCAAACGAGCAGCTGAAGACTCTCAAATCATGTCCTTAATCCCTGACGGCAAACTAACAATTGAAAAATCTAAACCTAGGTATTCAAAAGAGGATAGAAAATTGATTGAGGATCTAAAAGGACAGGAAAACAAAGAGGGTTGGGGTCAGATACCTGATGGGTGAATTGTAATCCCCTATAACCAGCTCTGGAAGTTAGTTCAGGAAGAACATAATAAAACTCATTGGGGTAGCAACTCTTTGTATAAGTATTTAGACAAACAAATTGTAGGAAGGAATCTATACACCACAGTTCAATCAGTGACAAAGCAATGTCAGCTATGTCTTAAGAATAATGCTAAGACTGAAAATAGAAATCAAATTGGGACAACTGGGAGAGGAAGTTATCCAGGACAGGAGTGGCAAACAGATTTTTCTGAATTACCAAGAAAAGGGGGTTATCGATATTTGTTGGTGTTAACGGATCCTTTTTCAGGCTGGCCAGAAGCATTCCCTTGTAGGCTCAATAATGCAAAACAAGTGATTAAAACATTATTTAACGAGATAATAACCTCGTTTTGGGGTACCAGAGGCAATTTCTTCCGACCGAGGCTCGCACTTTAGTGCAAAATTGTCACAAGAAATTAGCAAAAAATTAGAAATTGATTGGCAACCACATGTTCCATACAGGCCGCAGGCCAGTGGGCAAGTAGAAAAGATGAACCATCTGATTAAACAACAGAGTAGTAAAATATGTCAGGAAATGAATTTATATTGGTACCAAGGTTTACCACTGGCTCTACTAAGAATTCGAATTAAACCTCGGTCAAGAGAAGAGGTTAGCCCATTTGAAATTTTATATGGAAGTCCGTATCAGTCCCAGTTTAAAGGAGAAAGTCTTCAGGAAGAGGGAGAAGGCTATCTCTGACAGTTTCTGATCAATCTGGGAAAACTATTGGAGGAGATAAATATGACAATAGTAGGGACAAGAGCAAGAGGTTTGGATTATCTGATTCACCCTTTGAGATCTGGAGACTGGGTTTATGTTGAGAATTTTTCAGGAGATCCTCTACAGGAGAAGTGGAGCAGACCGTACCAGATATTACTGACCACCTTTACAGCAGTGAAGATAAAGGAACAACCTGCTTGGATACATTATTCAAGAATAAAGAAAGCACTAGAGCCGGAGAAGACGTGGCGGATCAAACCTTACGTATGAAATTGCATCGGTCATAATTTGGACTCATGATAACCAGCGCACAAGCTTGGAACCAGAAATTGTACCTGAAATTAGTGCAGAATGAAGGTTTTAATCGTAGTGACTGTTGGGTGTGCGCACAGTTGCCTAAATCAGGAGAAAATCCGGACCTTCCATTAACTGGAGTTCCAATTCCTAACACTGTCTCATGGATAAATCTGTGGGTGAACACTAGCAATCTACGTCCGAGGGAAAGGTTAAAATTTGGGATAGCTAATCCTAATCCAGGTAATAAATATTATACCTGAGCACACCAGGAACCAGGGTAGGAGATCATGCTTGTTTAAATGCCACAGATGTAGGTCACCATTCAAATTGCAATCATACTACTAATATAGATGGTATCGTAGTTCAGTGGTGGTCCATTCCTAAAGGGAAAGGATGGTATTGGTTATGTGGAAAAAATGCTTGTAAGACTCTACCCCCAGCTGTAAGGGGGCATGCACCTTAGGTGCTGTAATACCCAATTTTACTACTATCGACAGGTATCCTTCTGGGACCTGGATTAGAAGTTTTGCTAAATGAATTAAGTGAGGGTTTAACCCTATTATTGAACGGCACACCGCATTTCATAGTTGTGGAAGAGGGCTAATTCCATCTTTGGCAGTAAGTGAATTAGAGAAGGCAATTGTAAGTATCTCAACAACCATAGAGGAAATGGAAAGTAAAAACATTGATATAATCCAGGCAGAACAACAAGAGATAACTAGCCTAAGGTGATATTAAAAATCCAAATGACTCTACACGTTACTGGCATCACAAAGAGCGGTTTCTTCCATAATCAATGAAAGTTGTTGTTCCTATACAGACTAAAGTGGCAGAATTGAAACAGATCTGGAGGAAATTTGGAAACAAATTGAGATATTTCATGCAATGGCCGTGGATGACACCTCCTGGGGTTTTGAAGAAATACGGAAAAAGTTAACTTCATGGTTACCCAATCTCTCCTGGTTGAGACAACTGGTTGCAGGAATATCGTTGTTAATTGTTTTAATATTGATTACTTGTGGTATGAGACAATGTTCCTTCTGGTGTTGTAAACGCTCTATGATAAATTATGAAGATTGGAAAAGGAATGGAAGCAAGCACCAAGTAGAAACGGGAAATTATTTCAGAAAGACTTTTGATGGTAATGGCAATACATAAAATGTTGCAAAAGAATTTGCAAAAGGACAGAAAAAGGGGGGAGTCTGAGACAAGGGGGCACAAAATCACAAAACAGAATATATAAAACTTTAGAATTAGTTTTAAGTAATGTTAAGGTTGATGGCTTTGTAACAGTAGCAATGGACAACTACTGCGGTGCATGATACGTAGAGGAAAAAAGAGTGCAGTGAGAGAACACGCTGAGAATTCTTGTCCAAGATAAATCGTTATAGTTGACATAATTGTAAGAAAAACAGTCTAGAAGAACAGGACACAGGGATGAGGAGTATCTGGGAACCGCAGGTGTCCAGGATGGGCTACAGTTAAACTACCTGATAAGTAGGAGGACAGGAGGATTATTATGTCTCTGGTGCTAACGGACCAATTAAACTGATATGAGCATCTACTGCACGTGCTTCAAAGGCTGCCAGAAGGGATGAAGATTGTTGGAGGAAGTAAACGACCCTCAGAGACCACCCCCACAATTCTGTATGCATGCAGGGAACGTTCTGGAAAATGATGTAATCCATCCGTAGCCTCATGACTATGTATGTATGCCCAGTGGCTCTATAAGGACGGCTTGTGCAGCAGTAGGGAGACACACATCAGGAGGAGCTCTGCCCCGTGTCTCCCGGCGCCACAATAAAGAATACCTGCTTGTCAGCTTGAAAACTTTGTTCCTGGAGTTTTCTCCAAATCACCACGCAAGCAGAGCTGATTACTAAAATACTGGTTTGCATTTATTGTCCCAGTTAGGCAGTTCAGTTCCTTGTGCTCAGTCCGTGACCAAGGCACACCCCAAGAGGTGTCACTGGCAGCGCTGGGCTGTGGTGCTGCCCCAGCACAGGTCCCAGGAGCTCTGCACGTGGGGATGGGCTGAAAGCTGCCCTGAGCACATCTGTCTGGAACAGTGTGTGCTGTCCTCACAGCCCAGAGCACCGTGAGGGCCCAGCAGACCCCACACTGGAGCTGTGGGCACAGCCAGCAGCACCTCCCCACCTCTGTGGCTTCTGCATGGAGCTGGGAAGGGAGCATGAACACCACAACCATCCCCACGGGAGAGGCAGAACCAGGGAGATGGGTACAGACTGGGGCGACATGGGCAGCTACGCTAATGCCCACCCATAGAGAGCAGTGGGTACTGAAGGCACTGGTGGCTCTGGAGCCTCGCAGGGACACCCCGCAGGCTCGTGTGGCAGCTCCGGTGCAGAGGGTTCAGGGCAGGTACCGGCACCGCGTGGTCCCGCTCTGGCTGCTCACAGCAGCGGGCAGCCCCTGCGCTTCTTGTTCTTGCGGACCTGCAGGCCCGCTCGGGTGGCCATCTCGAAGACCTCCCGCACGCCCTCCTTTGTCTTGGCTGAGCACTCGAGGTAGCCGAAGGCGTTGATCCTGTTGGCCATGTCCCTCCCCTCCTCTGGCTTCACCGGCTCCTAGGAAGCATCAAACAGAGGGTTTGGAAACGTGGCCAGAAAGCAGCAGCAAAAGCACCGTGCCCTTGGCTGTGGGTCCAGCCATGGGTGCCAGGCACCGGGAGCAGTGGATGGCTGGCTGAGGCAGCAGGACCCAGCGCTGTCCTGACCTGCTTCATCTTCGCCAGCTCCCGCCGCGTGTGCTCGTCGTTGCGCAGGTCCTTCTTGTTGCCCACCAGGATGATGGGCACGTTGGGGCAGAAGTGCTTCACCTCTGGTGTCCATTTCTCAGGGATGTTCTCTGCAACAAGCACACAGGGATCCCCCTGAGCTCCCTCCCCCCCCCCCCAGCCTCCTCACAGCCATGGGAGCTGGCACTGGGCTTTTCCCATGGGAAGTGGGGAGAATTCGCCCCACAGCATCCTTCTCTCCCACCACCTCCAGCAAGCCAGGATGGTGCCAGCATCTTCCCGGCGCACACACAAAGCCAGGAGATGGAGGGGAGGGATGGGCAGCGTGGGGGCTTCTCAGAGCCCAGGGGATTTGGCACCAGCACCCGATCCTGTGCAAGCCCCTGGTATCCCCCTCACCCCCTTGTCCCTACCGAGGCTATCCGGGCTGTCAACGGAGAAGCACATGAGGATAACATCTGTGTCCGGGTACGAGAGGGGCCGCAGTCTGTCATAGTCCTCCTGTCCCGCTGTGTCCCACAGGGCCAGCTCCACCTGTGAGGGCACAGGGGTATGGTTGGCAGCTCGCAGGCATCTCCACAGCCAGGAGGCTGATCTTCCTCAGCTATAGCTACAGTCTTCCTCAGCCTGGGTTCAAGGCTACCCGGAAATAAAAGGACCATGGGGCTCCCCCAAGAGCTGTGAGTGTGTCTGAGCTGCGTGGACCAAGCCAGGTGGCAGTGATGGATGGTGGCAATGCCAACACAGGAGGGAGAGGATGGGAGCAGCTCCGGCACCCACAACGGCCCTTACCTGCTTCCCGTCTACCTCTATGTCAGCAATGTAGTTCTCGAACACGGTGGGCACATAGACCTCAGGGAACTGGTCCTTGCTGAACACAATCAGCAGGCACGTTTTTCCACAGGCACCATCTCCTACGATCACCAGCTTCTTCCTGATGGCTGCCATCGCTGTGGGGAGAAGAGTGCAGCTGTGAGCGGTCCACACTCCTGCCCCATCTTTGCCCCTTGTGCCCCAAAGTCTTTCGCATGACTGCCCAGCAAGGCCCCAGACACAAGCATCTGGGCACATCCCAGTGTGTGGATCCCATCCCAGGCACATCCCTGGCAGCCTGCAAGGGGCTCTCCTGACATCGTCACGCCTGCAAGGAGCCATCTACACCAGTTGCTGCATCTACAGCCAGAACCACCACACTGATGCCCAGCCAAGGCGAGGGCGGGTGGCTGCACGCAGGGACCTCCTCCAAGATGCTTGACTGCTGTGCCCTACCCAGCCAGCCTCCTGGCCATGATCCAACCCCTCCACACTGGCCTTCTTACTGTGCCACCACCCGGAGGTTGGTGACCTGTGACCACCTCAGAGTCACGCAATAATCCACAATAAACCAGTTGTGCCGGGTGCAAGAGATGATGAATTCTCCAGGGCAGAAGCTGCGCTCTGGCTCTCACCCAGGCGCGCTCACCCGCTCCTGCATCATCCCATCAGCAACTGGAACGCCCCAAGCTGAGCTCTAGGGGCTCTGGGTGAGCACAACCTGCGTGCCCAGCACCCAGCACTGCGCTGGCCCCATCCCAGCCAAGCTGACAAAGAGGCCTTTGCCACGTCACCACTGGCACTGGCGGCATGGAAGCTGCCATCCATCAGTCAGAGAACGGAGATGAAACCCTGCAGCAAAGCAGGCTGCCCCAAGTGAAAATGATGCAGTCCTGCAAGTACAGCACCCCCCCCCCCCTCGCAGTCCTGATCCAGCTCTGGGGCAGCAGCACAAGAGGGACGTGGAGCTGTTGGAGTGAGGCCAGAGGAGGCCATGGAGATGCTGCGAGGGCTGGAGCAGCTCTGCTCTGGAGCCAGGCTGAGAGAGCTGGGCTGGGTCAGCCTGGAGAAGAGAAGGCTCCTGAAGGGGAGACCTGAGAGCAGCTCCAGTGCCTGAAGGGGCTGCAGGAAAGCTGGAGAGGGGCATTGGCACGACACCAAACCTTAACTATGGCCTGGTGCCTGTCCTCTCATGGGGCAATCACATTCACGCCTGGAGCCTATAGCAAAGGAGGAAAAGAAAACAGCCCCCTAAGGCTGCATCACAATTAGCTGGGAGTGAAGCATTAAGGAATGAGACTCAGCGCGGTCTTGCATTTCAAACACGGGCTGAAGAGAGCTCCTCTCATCCGCACCCTCAGCAGGTCACTGCTCAACTCCTGCCTGGAGGAAACCCCCCGGACCCACTGCACGGAGCCCTGGGGAAGGAGCAGGCATCAGCTCTCACAAACCGAACTGCCCAAGCATGGCCTTGGGGCAGAAGAGAGAAAGATTTCACCCAGCTCCCGGCCAGACCCTGCTGCAGCCCTGGATCCTGGCAGGTTACAAGTGCTTTGGCTCCCAGGAATGGCTCATGGCTGCCAAGTGCTGTGCGAAGTTGGCACTTGCAAGGTGAGAATAGTGAGGATGAAGGGCTGTATCCGGCAGGATCTGGCACTCCTCAACCGTCCCAGTGGAAGAGCTTGGGACTGTAAAGGGCGAGTGCATTCATGCCTCACTGAAGTTGAAGAAAAAGCTTGAAGTGCCCAAAGGGTCCCACTGCTGGGGGCTGAGGAAGGACAGAAACCAGGTTTCTGTTCTAAGGGGAAGCAGGGCTTCCATCCCCTTTCCTTGTGTTCTCCTGCATGTCTCAGCTGGGCGAGGGATGCCACAGCCCCCAGCATGGGCAGCATCCAGGAGCTCATCCCAAGGAGACAGGACATGTATTACAGAAGCAGATAGAAGGGCTGGAGGAGTCTGCTCTCCCCTGCCCACTTGAGGGGGGAAAGCTTTCAAGGATGACATATCCTGGGGACATAAGAAACACACCCTCGGCTTGTCCTGTCTCCAGCCATCACCTCCACAACACAGGATAAGGAGAGCTTACGGGCAAAAAAAAGTCTATTTACTTAAACAGAAAAAGTCTATTTACTTAGAGAGCTCCTTTAGCCGCAGCAAAATGTGATTTGCTGCCTTGTGACTCTCTATCTCAAAGACAAACAGAGGAAGGACGGTGGTGTGGGACGCGCCGCTATCTACTCCACACAGCGCAGCAGGAGGCGCATCTGCAGCGCAGGAACAGCGGATGCCCTGACAGACAAACACCCGCTGGCAGCGATCTGCCTGTACCCAGTCTGCGGACATCAGACCTAAACCAAAACCAACCGGAGTGGGGCTGCCCGCTCCCCTGCCTGCACCCATCCTGATGCTGTCACCGCATCCAGACCCCTTCCCACGGCCTCCGTTGTCCACCCTGACCCAGGATAGCTCCGGCCCCAGCAGCTCCAGATCCGGGCACGGTGCCGAGCGGTGACTCAGCGGGCAGAGGCACCGTCCCCACCCCAAACCTCAGCACAATTCATTCCATTACTCCAGAGAGCAACCCAGAAATAGCCCTTACTAATCCCGAGCTGGCATGCGAGGGAGAGGGACAAGGAGGCTGCGAGCACCGTGTGCTGTCCCCATCCCTGCCCTTGCTCAGCCAGCACAGCACCAACACAGATGCCAGGAGAAATTAGCTCCTCTGCCAGGGGATGCTCTGTCACTCAGCAGGATGAGGCCAGTCCTTTGCATGGGGAGCCTGATGCAAAGGGCTTCGCACAGTTCCCAGATCATGAGCAATGAAAGAAAGTGGAAAACATGAAGACAATGTGAGCAGCACAGCTTGACTACAGCCGCCAGCAGGCCAAATGGTTTCAAAGGACACAGCTACCCACATCAGACATGGAAATTCAAACTGCCAAGTGGTAACCACCCTGAGTTACAGCAAAGGCTGCCCAACCACGCTCACAACCCAACCCAGCCTATACAGGGGTGTGAGCAGATACCTCCTGCTCATTCACAGAGATAACAAAAGGGAGCAGCAAGTTCGTGGCCATGGTGTTACCAGCACTGGCCTAATGCTGAGCGGGCAGCTCCTTCAGCATGCCAAGATGCTACAAAATGAAACCAAACCTCTCTGTTCTCTTTTCCAAGCAGCTATTCCAAAGCCATCACCATAACACCAGCTGGGCTCCAGGACAGCCTTGGTGTTATTGGCCTCTCCCTGCTCTGTGCCTCAAACAGTGAGGTTCCTGCTGAGCAGGAAACGGGGAACCCCTCTGGCAGCAGGATGTGTCCATCACCCCGTGTCTGCTATGGGATCTCAGGAAATGGCAGAGAGATGTTGATGCTTCGAAGGGCTCCAGCCAGGGACAGGAACCTTCCAAGGAGGCTCCTTGGTGAGCCTGAGCTCCCGGAGCAAACAGCAGGGTTTTGTTCTACAGCAGAAACTCCCAAGTGCTGCTGCTGCTGCCGCTGCACCCCGACCCAACCTCTCACACCACGTATCAGCCAACCAGCCCCATCTGCTCTGCCCACAGCCCCAGAGCCTGGGCAGGGCTGGGCTGGAGCTGTGCTGGGAGCAGCCCTTCCCAGGGACACCCCCAGTGCTCCCCACAGCCCCCAGGCTCGGCAGACACCCCACTCCCAGCAAAACCTCCTTATCCAGGAGGAACACAGGAGAGCAGAGCAAGGAGGGGGGGGGGGTCAAGCACTTGCACATCGCCACAAGGATCCTTCTTGGCCAGAGATAGGAGAACTGACCCAGGGCTCATGCTCCTGCCCTGCAGAGCTGCCAGCAGCATCTCCTTACAGGCTGTTGGATGATCCGGGACTATTCCTGCGCCCTGGCAGCTCTCTGGGCATGCCCCTTAGGCTGGAGTTACAGGGCAAAAGCAGTCCTGGCATCCCAAAGCCCTGGCACCACCAGAACCCCAGCACTGTGACACAGGCACAGAAGGAAAACCTCTTTGAAGAGAGGTGCTGGGAGCTGGTATCACTGTGTCTTCAGCTCTGCTCAGCTTCTTAACACAAAAAGCACCCGATGCAGTTTGGACCAGTTTTGATTTAGCGCTTGTTGGGGAAGGAGCTGGGATAAGGCAGCACAGAGGGGCTCAGGGCTGCAGCAGCCACGAGGGATGTAACTGGGTTTTTAAAGCCCCCAAACACACCCCTATGGCTGAGGCTGTGCAACCGGTACCACAGCCAAGAGCTGAGGCGGCTGCAGCATCCGCGGAGCACAGAACACTCGCAGGGAGCGCAGGAAGTGCTTTGTGAGCAGTGTAGCCAAGGACAAGCTGTCTCCACTTCTAAACATGGCTCTGTGTGTGTGCACAGGGCTGCTGCCACCGCCAGGGCACCTCGGGACAGGACCCGAGAGGTGCCACCGGGCAAACAAGAGCCCCTTTGGGCAGCCCCAGGCCACCACAGGCACCGCTGGACCTGCAGGGGCCAGGACATGGGGTGCCTCCATGCAGCAGGACCCACTCTCCTCAGCCCACCGCTGGGTCACAGCTCCTATTAGCAGAAGTGGGAGCCCCACTAAAGCGTGTGTCAAGGCCATGGCTGTCCCCAGGTTAAAGCAGTCGAAAGGGAATTAAGGTGTTTGGGGAGAGAACAGAGGTACATGGGTCAGTTGCCAGCAGAAAGCCCCTCGGTGCTGCTTCACAACAGGAATGATTTTAGGTGGCAGGACTTGCTGGCACAGCAGGAAGTAAACTTCCACACCAACATCTGACAGGTATGCCCATCGAGGGGGATTTAATTTGCTGAGACATCTAAACCATGGCCAAGGTAGTGCAAGTACTGGCAAGTGCCTCCGGTATCAGAGGAATCCTTACACAGAAGCAGAAAAGCATTCCAAAAAGGGCTTGAAGTGAAGAGCAATGAAATGGCCAGGACAGAATCCTAGCACAGAATCCCAGACTGGTTTGGGTTGGAAGGGAGCTTAAAGCTCCTCCAGCTCCAACCCCTGCCACGGGCAGGGAACCCTTCCACTGGAGCAGCTTGCTCCAAGCCCCTGTGTCCAACCTGGCCTTGAACACTGCCAGGGATGGGGCAGCCACAGCTTCTCTGGGCACCCTGTGCCAGCGCCTCAGCACCCTCACAGGGAAGAGCTTCATATCTAATCTAATACCCCCAGGGCTCCGAGCTCCACAGTGGCTCACAGCTTGAAGACAATGAAGTGGTGTTGCTTTGGCACAGCAGCATCCCCAGTTTTAGGCTCCCCCAGCTCCGAGGCTCCAAGCTGTGCACTTAGGAGCAGCACAGCGTAGAGCAGCCTCCAGCCCTTGTTTGCACCAGCAGCCATCACTCACACCCCAAGCACACACTGCACCCGCTGCTTGGAGCCTCCCATCCTGCCTGCCACTGCTGCCAAAGCTGCCCTGTGCTGTGGAACATGCCTGGCTTTACCCCCAGGAAAGCTGCCTGAAACCTCCTTGTATCGAGACCCATCACATCCAAACGATGGGCGACCATCCAAAAAGGAGCTCAACCTCAGTGCTTCCAGTTTAGACCTTCCCAATTCTTTTCCTATAATTGTGAGCTGTGCTTTGGGCACGATCAGCCAGCCTGGGCATACAGCAGACTCCAGAGGGCAAGCACCCACAAAAACCATCCACAAACAGAGCAGAGAAGAGGACTTGGAACAGAAAGAAATCTCAAGCCTAAACCAAGCCTGAACCACAAGTGCTTGAGCCTTGCGGGGAAACGCTGCCTGCCCTCATCTCCTTTTCCAAAGGACATCATGCCATGCTCTTGTTTTACCTCCCGCGGAAGTAACGGCCTTCCCAGCCCCACTGCAGGACAAGTGCCTTGCTGGAAGCTCCGAATACCACGCCGCAATCCCGGCAGATGCCTGTACTTATGCAAGGCCTGACTGCCGCTGCCCCAGGGCCCAGCGATGTTTGCTAATACATTCCTTACTTTTCATGTCAATACGCCTCTCCAGCGCACACAGCCAGTTAGGAGGTGAGCCTGGTTAAACGCTCCCGATAACCTGTTGGAAGACAGGGACTTGGCTTATTTTCTGCTTAAAAAACATCCTGCAGAAGCTGTAGCTGTCAGGAACATGGATTCCATTGAGTCAGTAAAGTCTCACGCAGTCTCTACCTGCACTATGTGTAGCTCAGGAGGATGAGCTGGACACAAACATTTGGACACCAAAAGGCACTTGGCAAAATAGAAATAACATGCAAATCACAGTGAAACACAAGCAGCCAAAGCTGCTGCCTCACAGTCTCCATTCCACAAGCTAAACACCTCACTGGGAATGGGGCAGTGCTGCTGCCTGGCTGGGGGGGGGACCCATCCATGTCCCTGCTCCAGGATCCCCATCGCATCAACACACGCAGGGATCCCATTGCCATCGGGAGGCTGGATTTGGGGGGGGGTGGAGGCTGCTGGGAAGCTTGGCTGCCAGACTCGGTGCTGGAAAGAGCCGCGCAGTCATGCTTTTGGAATGCTCCCTTGCTCCTAAGACAATTATTTCTCCCCCCTGCAAGCCCCCCCTAACATAAATGTTTAAACGTGAGCTCAGCAGCAAGCAAAGGGAACTTTGTTTTCCTTTTTCTGAAGAGACACAAAGCGGCTGCTGCATGAGCAGAGCCACTCGTAGGGATGCTGTTAGAGCCCCGGGGCTGCGGGGAGGGTTGGCGGGATGGGATCGAACACCCAGGCTCTTCCCCCCAGCTTGGCCGGGTCAGTCAGTGGTGGGAAAGCAGCCACAGCCCTGTCCCTGCGGCACCCACAAGTCAGGACCCACAGCCCAAGGCTGCAGTTGAAGGACAAACCCGCGCTGTCCCGACTGCCACTGACTCATCCCTGTCCATCCCAAGGACCCCCGCCCCATCCCAGGCACACCCACCCCATCCTGTCCTCCTGCACCCCACCCAGCCCGGGGGGGAAGGGGGGCATCCGCTTCGCAGCTCTGCTCCCCCAGCAGTGCCCTAACACCACACCAGCAGTGAACCCCCCGCTCTGAACCCCCCATGCCCAGCACTGAACCCCGATCCCAGCTCTGAACCCCGATCCCAGCTCTGAACCCCCCATGCCCAGCTCTGAACCCCGATCCCATCTCTGAACCCCCCATGCCCAGCACTGAACCCCGATCCCAGCTCTGAATCCCGATCCCAGCTCTGAACCCCCCATGCCCAGCACTGAACCCCGATCCCAGCTCTGAACCCCCCATGCCCAGCTCTGAACCCCGATCCCAGCTCTGAACCCCCCATGCCCAGCACTGAACCCCGATCCCAGCTCTGAACCCCGATCCCAGCACTGAACCCCCCATGCCCAGCACTGAACCCCGATCCCAGCTCTGAATCCCGATCCCAGCTCTGAACCCCCCATGCCCAGCTCTGAACCCCGATCCCAGCTCTGAACCCCCCATGCCCAGCACTGAACCCCGATCCCAGCTCTGACTCCCCACCCCCAGCACGGATCCCCCCCCAGCCCAGCTGCCCAGACCGCAGCTCTGACCCCCCCAGCAGTGCCCCTGCCGCTCGGCTCCCCCAGCCCAGCCCCGCACCTCTCTCCGCCGCCGCTGCCGCTGTCCCGGTCCCGGTCCCAAATCCGGCCCCGGCTCCGCGGCGCCGGCGGCACCGCCCCGTGCAGGGCGGCCCGGGGGAGGCGGTGCTGAGCCCAGCACCCGCCCCGGGGCACCCCGTCGGGCAGCGCGGCCGGGAAGGGGAGGGGGGAATCGGTGCTTCCAGCCTGAACCCCCGGGGCTCCCCGGAGGGCTCCCGGTTTAGGTAACGCCAGGCAGGGAGAGGGGCTGCGGGGGCTCCGAACCCCTGCTTCATGTAGGACCAACAGCAAAGCTCACCCCTGCTTTGCCCTCCAACCCGGAATGCCTCCATCCATCCGAGCATCTCTCGGGGAGATGCTTTCCCCCCATGAGCTTTATTGATGACAGAACCAAGAGCCCCACTTCGAGAGGCAAGCTCTTCCAGGGATGCAGACCCCGGGGGAGGGGGGCGGCATCACCCGAACTCCATCAGACCCCCTCTGCACTTCCACATGCTGCCTACTCGAGTAAAGCCCCATTTCCCACCATAACAGACACAGCAGACATGCAAGAGACAGGCAGCATCTCAGGTCCACCAGCAGGAAGGGCTGTGACAAAAGCCGGCCTCGCACCGAGGTGACCCCAGTGACACAGAGAGGGTTTCATCTCCCCTTACCCGTCAGCTGTCAGCAGGGAAACCATCACCTTTTTCTTCCCTCCATTCCCTTGTCTATATCCAGGTGCTGCCTGCAGCAGGGAGGAAAACGAGGCTGGTACCTGCAGTTTCACAATGCTTATCCAAACCCAATGCAGCACTCACCAACCAGGTCCCATTCCGGGTCACTGACCAAGCCTGCAAGCCTTCCCTATGAGACTGGCGAGCCCCAGGTTGCTCTGACCCCACAGTGGGGTTCCTACTCCCATGGGATCTGTGCGATGCCAAGGGCAGAGGGACAACAGCTCACATGGCTCCGCCTGGGTCTATTTGCTGCCAAGCCTGCCTACACCAATTAATCAGGGCTAATTGGCTTTTAGGTAAGTCTTCTTTGCAAAAGAGAGACTTTGAAGTGGGGCTGCAAGTGGCAATACCTTTATTTAAACACACTGTGCTGCACCAGGACAGGCTCCCAGCCTCAGTATCCCTCCCTGCTCCCTTCTGCACAGATGGCAATAGGTCAAAATCTCACTGGATAACTCTCACTTCCCATTAAGTGCACCCGGTTTATTTACACCCCATTACAGGAGGCAAACAACATCCACCAAAGGTGACCCATGACAAGAGCTGGCTGCACCCAGCAACAGCAGGACACAAACTACTAGTGCCAAACCAAGGGACCACAGCCCTGCTCTCCCCATCACCATGCTGCCAGGATGAAGCATTCCTCCTGTGATGGGAGGATGCAAAGCTCTGATAGGCTCAGGAAATGCATCCTCCAGGATAAAGGTTGTGTAATTCAAAGTAAGACCTTGTGCAGGGGTCAGCCACTGCTGCAGCTCCGCTCAGTGCCAGCCTGGAGATTATTAAGGAAAAGGAGGGAGTTGCCTTTCCTCCATTCTAGTCACAACCAAGCTGCTTTTATTGTGGGCTTCCAGGCGTCAGCTAAGCAGATCCATGCAGCAGTTAAGCTTGCCTGAATAGGACTGCTCTGTGGCCAAATGCAGCTCAGTTTAGAACCATTCGAAACTACAGACATATAGTCACAGTCTCCCCACACCAAGACTTAGACATTTTCCAGCTCAGCTCCCCAGTTAACAATAAATAATTGGCTCCAGAAACACAGCAGTGACCCGTGGCACAAAGAGGGGTGGGAGCAGAACCCATGGCACAGCCAGCACAAGTGCAATTAGCTCGTTCCTTCCCAGGAGCTCTTTGTGCAGTGCAGTGATGGAGCACAACCCCATCCTCCCAAACCAGTGACTAAGACGAGGTACATGGCTGGGATGAAGGCGCGAGGGGCTGGAGAGGACAAGCACAAAGCTGGGATGTCAGTCGTGGGGCTTGTCCACCACCACCCCACACACACCAGCACTGAGCACTACCTTCAGCAGAGCTTCACGCACCACAGCCCATCCCAGCCCCAACAGCAGCTTCAGTGTCACAGGACTGCAGCAGCAGGCACACGCTTCTCCAGGTACAAGTGCTCCACCTGCCCAAGGCCACTGCACACTGCTGGCACCAGCGCACCGAGGGTGAGGTGCAAAGGATGCCCTGAGAAGCCAGGGAGCCTTTTGGCTCTTCACAGCAATCAAGAAAGTAGCAGCACAAAACCCATTCTTCCACAGCAGTCTCAGCCTCTGTCCAAGGCCCTTCCATCTCACCCAGGGCTGTGCTCACACAGGGAGAGAGGGATACTCTGAGCAGGGGCACAGAGGCTCCAGGGTTCTTACTCTTCTCACACTTGGCTCAGGAAACAAGTGCTTGGGGGAGAGGTGGCCCCAAGGCAGCACCAGTGTCCTGCTCATCTCCATCCACGCTGCCCCGGCATCATTGAGCATCACGTGTAGTTGCCTGGGCCGCCCAGAGGGATCACAAAGACAGAGATGTCATCGCCGGAGCCCAGTTTGTCGTTAGCCAGCCGCCAGCCCCGCTCCTTCAGCACCCCCCTGGACCGCACCACCAGCTCCTGGGCCACCATGGTGTACCTGGGGGGCAGAGCACAGCGGTGAGCCCAGCCCGGAGGGATGCACGGCCACAACCCCGCTCCAAGGAGCAAGGCCAAGGGGAGGTGTTAGAGCACAGGACACACTCATCCCCCTGCCCGCTCGCAGCTTACCTGCATGGGTCATTGGGCTCATAGCTCGTCAGCACCTCCATCACCACACCAGCCACCTCCTTGTCATTGGTGACATCCCAGAGCCCATCGGTGCCCAGGACCAGAACATCATCAGGGCAGTGCTCATACTGCGTGAGGTCGTAAACCCTGACCTGGCAAGCAGCAGGGCAAGACACAAGGGTGAGGGGCAGAGAAGATTCTCATTGCTCCAGCCACAGCAAGAACCCCTGGGCACAGAGCAGCCAGGCTCACCTCCGGGAAGCAGGACAGGAAAGGCTTGATGTGGATGTTGGAGCTGAACACCTTGAGGTCATGGTCTCCCAGACCCCGCGTCACCCCAATCGTGGCCAGCACCCGAGCCTGGAGAACAGTGAAATCAAAGGAAAACTTTCAGCTGCTTCATCTCCACCTCCATTCCCAACTGAGAATTGGTGGCTTTGGAGTGGTGACAGCACAAGCAGAAACAGGCTGGAAACCCCCCGATTCAGCAAGAGCAGGCAGGACCCACACACAGCTCCTGCCACAGCACTTCACCTTCTTTCCTTCCCCATAGATAAGTGGAAACTTGAGGTCATCCTCTTCTATCTTTTTGTAAGCCCTGGTTAAAATAAGACAACGTGTCAGCAGGAGGTGGCTTCCAGCTCCTCCCCTGCCTGCTCAGGACACAGCACCCCCAGGGACAAGGACTGCTCAAGACATGGGTACCCAGTGTGCCAGAGCCCTGCTTCCCATGGGAGTGATGCAGACCCAGGCAGAGCAGGACCCTGCATTGCCCCTCAGCACAGAGCCTGCGAGGTGGTTTAGGGGTTACCAGCCATTCATGTCCTGGTCTCTGTACAGCATCTTCCTCCCCAGCTCCTTGGGCTGGATCCTGCGGGGGAACTCGAGGTGTGTGAACTCCTTCCCCAGCAGCTCAGGCCTCAGGAATGCCTGTAGGAAGAAGTGATGGCTCAACTGATGGGCTGGGAGAGCAGGACCCATGGAGCAGCGCCTGCCCCAGCAGCCAGTAGTGCCCACAGCACGAGGCACAGCCAACCAGTTGGGACCTCAGCTATGGCATTGCATGGTGGGGACATCACCAACTGCTCTGCTGCAACTCGAACAGGGGGTGGTAAAGCAGCTCCAAATCACCCATCTGTGCTACCCCCAGAGCAGAGACAGGAGCTGGGCACTGCCATGCCAACACCCAGCACGAAGGTGAAGCTTTTGCATGGAACTTTTGGGAAATCAGGGTCTCCAAATGGGATCAACCCCCAGCAAATTCCAGGAGGAGCTGGAATTTGCCCAGAGGAGTCAGAGCTGCAATCCTCCCAGGCTCAGCACAGGGCACGGCACCCGCCTCAGGGAAAGAGCTGATGGCTCTTCCAGAAACCATGACCTGGCTGTGATAAGGGACAAGCAGCAGCACAGAGCCCCTTCCCAGAGCAATCCAGGGCCTCCTGGAGCACAGAGTGGGAATAAGGACAGCGCTGGAAGATGCAGATGGAGGAAGAAAGAGCAAAAGAAAGGAGGAGAGCCCCTGGGAATACAGGAGGGTTCAGTGCAGATGCACGGAGAGCCCCATCCGCCTCCCGGGGGGCTCTGACCATGGGCACTCTGCAGAGGAGCAAGAGCGTGGCTGGCTCCTGCCTGCACCCTGCCCACTGCAGCCGGCTGGAGGAGATCCTGCTCCCAGCAGTTTCCTCCTGTGGGTCACTCAAAAACAGAGCCAAGAAAAAACACCCCAGTGTTTTTCCAAGCCAGGAAACGGCATCCAGCGAGGCCTCCTCCTCTGTGCTGCCACCAGAGAGGTCTTTATAACCTTAAGAAGTCTCCCTGTGTGGCACAGGGGGGTTGTCCAGGCCAGGCAGGAGAAGGAGCTTTCAGGATGAAAGCTGGAAACCCACTGGCACACATTAGCTCCCTGCGTCCCCAGGCAGCAGGCAGGGAAGAAACGAGGACTCACTCCTTGGACAGTGCGAGGGAGCAGGATGGATGGAGGGAGCAGAGCTGTGCTCCTCCTCCTGGTCACTGCACAAGCAGCCCAGCGCTCCTGCAGCAGCACAGGCTGCTCTCCATCCCTGATCAGGACAAGATGGACCAAACTGGCTCCATGCACCAGTACAAACCAGCCCCATGCCGAGAGCCCAGGACCCCCAAGCCAGACTCAGGCACAGCCCCTCACGTTGACCCTGCAGCAAAGCAGGGCTCTACCAGCCATGAGATGCCCCACACCTGTGAGCCAGGGCAGCTTTATGTCCCAGCACCTCTGGGCAGCCTAGAGAGCACTTGATGGATGAGTGCCCATCAGCAGGTCCCAGCT